GTTCGTCGAAATTGCTGATCGAACCCGGCTCTAATTGGGTGAACCACATTAGAGCTTGGCCACATAGATTTTCCGAAAAAAGCTTACAGTACCCTGCATCCTCATCGGCTTCATCCAATTCGACTCTTCCGGCAGCTATCAGGAAAGCTGCGAGATAGCTTTTTGGATCCTCTAATCCGCTGTAAGGGTCCAACTTGAGCTTCCGAGAATCTTTGATTCTTAAACTTGCGATTCGCGGAACGAAAGGTGTTCGCCTAGCTTCTTCAATGACTCGATTGATATCCGGCTCCGAACTTGTAGCCTGATGGAATTTTGACTTCAATTCTTTTAGTTCTTGGCTAACCTTCCTCATAGTCTCGAACTGGTCGAGGTTTTCCTGCTCGTATTGATCTGCAAGTTGAACTTCATCTTTGAGCTGTGTCTCTTCCTCCAATGGCTGAACTACATTATTAGTAGCACCAGGAGTTGTTTGTCCGCTGGTTTCATTTCGCGCAACGGAACTTGGCGAGTTGAGTATCCTTCTTCGGATACCCACAGGGTTTCCTGCACTTAAAGAGCAAACACGAGTTTGTATAGTACTGACGTTTTGACTAAGAGATACCTAGGATGTTTGTAACGTGTCGACAGCCTTTTCCACATTCGAGAACTTCTGCGACATTTTCGACATGGTTTGTTGCATGGCTTTAAGGGTTTCGGCCAATGATAATTCAGCAGCGTCTCCTCCGGACATTGTTGCTTATCTTCGGAAATGTAGTAAAGAAAAAATCTGACCACTCAAGAATCCTCGATCCCCACAGGCGGCGCCAAAATGTGGATGTCGGATTCACACACTCAAGTATTTTTATTAAGTAGGAAAGATTACTCTTGAGAGACAAAAATAAATATGCAAAAAGCTTATGAATTGCTACAAAAATTGCTGTAATATTTCTTATTCGAGAAAGAGATCCCCCTTTACATGGTCATTGGCCTTTATATTTATACATAGAAAAATGACATTTAATGGGCTAATTAAGTACAATTATTCTCTCTTAAATGTGACCGTTTTGGTCTTTGACTTTAATGCTCAACATTTGAATTTGTGTTGACTCCGATCTTAGTGGGCCTCGCCTTTTGGCCCAAATGTCCTTGAACCATCTTAACCGTGACTTCGTCTCCGGAATTGTATCGAGGTGCAGTCACTTCGGATTCCCCTTATGGTGATAACCACTTCGAATGTTCCTTTTGACTTGCAGGTCTAACGGGCTTTATCCCTTATGGGCTGTTAACCCAACTACGTGGCAATCTTTAGTTGGTCCCGAACCTCTGGTGCGGGATCCGACACCAACACATAGTAGCACTTGTAGTGGCATGAAAGCCATCAATAACAGCAGCTATTACTCGCAAACTTTCAAAGTTGCACAACCTCATAACCTTAGCTTCAAAGAAGTCTAAACAGCCTTTATCAGTTCCATATGAAAGAATCTCCTTAAAACTGTCTAACTATAGCTCCCCCTCTCGATGAGCATATCTACTTGTGAAATACCTCATAGAGCAAAGTCAGAAAACATGAACTAACCTCATTAGATTGCAAATCTGGTGGTCGCGGAAGAGATCCGAACGACAACACCGGCTCAATCAACAATTTCAACCATGGATGTTCTCCAAATAAATTGTCATCGACAAAAATCTCTCATGGTGGAGCCATAGACTCAACAAAACCAGGAAATGGTTCCATCACAAAAGTAATCACTGAACAAGTGCAACGATATCACCACACCGTGATAAACTAAAGCAATATGTGGATCAATTGAAATCGCATCAACAAGCTTCTTGCGGCGGAATCAAAAGTGATCTGGAGCATCAACAACTGTAAACAACCGTATAAATCCAACAAATCGGTGGATTAACCAAGGAATCGACGGAATAATCGATCATTGAAAGAATAAAATCCGATTTTAATCGGAGAAGAAGCTGGAGATTGGCAAATCGAGCACAAATCCAGACAAAAAAATGGAGCATAAATCTGGCGGAATAACCAGAAGAAAATTCTGAAAATACAAGACGATTTGAGATGATTAATCGCTTCAAACAAACAAACAAATCAGACAATCGAGGAAATCTGATCTCAAAATCGAGGATAAGAACTCAAATATGAGGAATCAAACTAACAAATGAAGAGGTGAAAGCTCGATTCAAAGAAATTGGAGCTGACTTCGAGGAGATCAGGGCTCGATGAAGAAAAATATAGAAATCTGAATCAATAGTGAAACAGATGAACCAAATCGAAATTGATGAATCGATCGGTGAGTAAAGTTCTTCAAGCTCGAGATCAGTTGATAATCAACAGCACCGAAAGAAAATAGATGAATCGGCCATTGAAATCGATCAATCGAGGAAAAGGAAGAACAAAGATCAATCGCTTTTGATGAAACGAATCGATCGAAGAGAGAAAAAAAAAAGAAAAAAAATTGATGAATCGCAAATCTGAATTAAAATCCGAAGAACATGATCGATCCTTTGATGAATTGATGAAGATCAGCGGAAGTGGAATGAAGAATTTAGATTAAGCTCTGATACCATTTCAACTTTTCCCATGAACATGATTGAGAGAGATGAAACAAGAATCTGGAAAAAGATAATTTCTTCATTCAAGTGTAAAATGAGATACAAAGTATAGTTAAATACAAGTAAAACTAAACCACTATGCTAACCAAACTATACAAGAGATTAAACCATAACTAAACCAGCTATATACACTCTAATACAAACATAAGTTTAGATAATGTTTAATGTTTTAGCAATATTAACTAACTTGATGATGTTCTCCACTATGCACAAGAGAAATCTTATTATATAAATCTTGGTTTCTTAAAGTTAGCCATGTTAGATACAAAAAGAAGAAAAATATACATGATTGCTACACATATCAATTAAAACATTTTATGAGACATTATATATAACCAACTTATATACTTTAAACCATTAGACTAAATCTTATTTATATAAATGGATCTTTAAAACATATTTTAAGTTTCCAATCTAAACTTTTTAATTCTTAAATTCATGGCTGGTTCAATTACATTTTAACATAGTACTAGGATTTAACTCGAGGTACACCGACCATAAGACAAAATTATAATATATTGTTTTTTAATCTTGATTTACTATTTATTAGATTTAAATTCAAAAGTTAAAAATATGTTTTTAGTTTGTTTATTTTTATTATATATATATTTTTTTGGTTTTTCTATTTGCAAATTAAACATGCTAATTTGTATTGATATCAGTTAATTTGTAGGTGTAGTAGTGATATATTATGTAACACAATTTTTGTTTGATTATAATTTTACATTCATACAAAAAACAAAAAAAATTAAGAAACATTTGTTAATCCTATTGTAGAAAATTGATATTTGAATAGTATAAACTCATCAAAATATTATATGTATTTGTGTTTTCTGTATATATTTTGTGTTCTTACTATTGGGATGGGCCATTTTATGGTTTTAGAATTGGGTTATTTGATCTGATGAAATAGTCCAATACGTTTATATAATGAGCCTCTATTGTAGTCGAATACGTTTATATAATGGACCTAAATTAAGAACAAACAAAAACAACAAACGAACAGAAATTCCGATCAAACGGAAGACTCACAAAAAAAAAAAACCAAAATCTCTTTACCTCCAGAAATTTCTCTATAAACTTGCCGCCTGTAACTCTGTCCACCGTAAGAATTAATATTCATATTAGGGTTTAAACTTTCTAGCTTGCCAGGTTTTGGAACTTTAACCTCCACCTTCCAAAAATATAGATTAATCATACGAATTCACTAATAATACGCAATATAACTCTTATACGTATATTGTAAACGTTTTTATGGTCATATACATTAGATTTTTAAAATTCCAAACGTAAAGCTGAACTCCTCGTCGTGGGGGCTTTGATTTAACATATTATTCATCAAAATCTTACAAACTTGATGGTAACAAAAAAATGGTTACATTGTGTATATTTTTGACTTCGTATATTTAATTTGCAATTTTTTGATGTGTAGGGTAAAATTGTAAATATTGGTGAGTTAGAAGTTTTTTTGCATAAAACCCTTTATATTATTACTACTCTTACGATATTCTTTTTCAATAGTGGAATTATCCAAATCCGTTGGGAATACATAAATAGAGTTTTCGAAGATTTGGCTCTGCATGAGTCCTCGTAAGTGTTAGTAGTACCAATGAAAAATTAATGTAAATATTTTAGTAAATGATAGATATAATTAATTAAATGGTTGAGGAGCTATGTGCACGCGACACGTCAGTATGACATTTTTGTTATTCACTAAAGTTATTTTTTAAAAGATCTTTCTCAATTAATATAAACATTATATTTTATTAGTTAAAAACTCCTTTTGAGTATTTAACCAATTGTGGAAGCCCCATTGATCCATTGGTTGACCAAAATTAATTAATGCTTCCACACCAAGAGGTCTGGGGTTCGAGTCCCAGATACTGCGATTTATTAATAAATTTGCAGAGTAATGGAGGTAAGTGTGCTGGAGATCTCCAGCGATATACAATTATAGCCGTTCGCCAGGATTCTACGCAGAGAGAAGTGTCGTCAGGTCGTGGATCATTGAAAGTGTCCGTCAAGAGCATGAAAAAAGAAATGTCTTCTATCGTAGATCTAATAAGGGTCGGAATGTATTGTCCGTTGTAAAATCGTCTATGTAACAGTTCTCATAATTTGCAATAAATAATAAATCTAGAAGAAAATTAAAAAAAAGGAGTATTTAACCAATGAAAGTACTCTAATATCCCCGTATACATTTAAAAAAAATATTTGTACAGTAACATATATTTTCTCTTCAGTATCTACGATGGCATATCTTTATATAAGCATATATAAATGGTAAACAATCATTTATCCGTTCATATCTGATGAACAAAACCGAACCAAGTCGATAACCGAACTCCATTTACAAAGCTATCAATTGGTTCCAAAAATCGAGAATCGCGGTTCGGTTCAAAATATTATCTCAGTGATAATGAATTCGAGAAAGAGAAAAAGAGTAACGCAAGTTCAATATCATCAATAACCAATTCATCTCTCAATGAGAGTTTAACAATATATTTTTGTTAAAAGTTAGATAAAGCAAAAACAATCCAAAACACTTAACACCAAAACCCTAATAGAATAATAATAGTTCATGGTTCAATTCAATTTCTAAGCACGCTCTCCACGAATCCTTCTTGCCAATTGAACATCTTTAGGCATTATCGTAACCCTCTTTGCATGAATGGCACAAAGATTTGTGTCTTCAAACAAACCCACCAAATATGCTTCAGCAGCTTCTTGAAGAGCTAACACTGCATGGCTCTGAAATCTCAGATCCGTCTACATTACAAGTTCCACAAAAAAGAACCCATTAAAAAACATCTCAATCTCAATTATAATCAAGATCAATCTTCTTCATCAAGTTAGGGTTTCGAAAACTAAAAGAAAAATATCTTACCTTGAAATCTTGGGCTATTTCACGAACAAGACGCTGAAATGGAAGTTTGCGGATCAACAACTCTGTGCTCTTCTGGTATTTACGAATCTCACTGATTTTTATCAAACAAGAATAAGAACCACTGATTTCATCAAAATTTAAGACGGAAAAAAGGAAAAACAATGAAAGTTTTACCGAAGAGCGACGGTTCCAGGACGGTAACGGTGAGGTTTCTTGACTCCTCCGGTAGTCGGCGCAGATTTCCTCGCCGCCTATGTTACGATTACACAATCAATCAATCTGAAACCCTAGATTTCTCGTTACAAAATTCAAAACTAAGAACGAACGAACCTTGGTAGCGAGCTGCTTCCTCGGAGCTTTTCCTCCGTGTGATTTTCTCGCGGTTTGCTTCGTACGAGCCATGGCTTCTTCAAGAATCTGATAGCTTAGAACGATGAAGAGTTGAATCAAAGAGAAGAGCTTTTGAGTGTTGTGTTTTAACTTAAGAGAAAAGTAAAACAGATTAGTGACTTTATTTATAGTGAGGAGGTGAATTATTAGGTCGGTTAATTTTGGGAGATTAACGGGAGAGGAGTTTATAGACGTACGATTAAAGGCATGTTCAACGGTCCATATTTGATTTGAATAAGATTAAGCTTACGTGGCGATCTGCTTTTTCGATTCTTGTTGGTCCATTTCTTGTGAGTGATTTAAGGTTGAATTTTCTTCTGGTTTAAGTAATGTTTTTAAAATGAGTAGGCTTATATTTGAGCCTACATTGATTATTGTTGGACTTTACAGTCCATTTAAAATAGGCCCATAAGCCCATTATAGTTCTTGCCTGGAATTCAAGAAACATAAATCGTTGACGTAGAGAAGCAAACATATATCGTCATGGGGATATGTTGTTGATGCTGGGATTCGATACTAAATGCATTTAACTTAACTCCACACAACAAACAAAATTCATCTCCTTCATTTAAGTCGTAATCATCGGTTACTACTAACATCAAGTTGCAAATCCTTCAAATAGTAGTATGATCAAGATGATTTCCGAGAGGTAAAAATGGGTCTTCCCCATATTAAGACTCTTTAACAATCTAGTCCAAGAGAGAAACAATGACTGTTGGAGTGTTATATCATGAGCTCAATCTACTAATTTTATAGTATAAGTATAGTCAAGAGCTACTATAAATTATATGGTGTAATTGATAATTCTATATCGTAGTAGTGTGTGTGTATACCATTTTCACTGTAATCAATCATAAAACGATATAAAAACGTTATTAAGAATTGGTTTGATAATCTGAGATTATGATGAAAGTATGAGCATTTATCAAATCTCATATTATCAAATCACAAAGCAACCATTTTCGAAATTGGGGAACAGTCCAAATTTGAAAGTTCGAGACTAAAACGACATTTTCGAAGTTGAGGATTTAAACGGTCCAAATTTGAAAGTTTGTGATTTTTTTAATATTCTTTTGCAATTATCAAACGACGTCGTTTAGACTAAACGGATATTTCTAACGGAGAGTAAACACCGTAAACAGTTTTCGTCTGTCTACTTAGGAACATGCCAAATAGCCAAGTCAACAAAAGTTCATCATTTATTTATAAAATCAACAAGAACTTAATGTTTTAATCGTTATTTCTTATGTTGAGAATTAAAACGTCACAAATTTTAAAAGTTCAAGATTTTTTGATAATTTTTCCCATATAAATATACATATAAGTATATAACGTAAGTATATGTTCATGTTCATGTTCATGTTCATAGACATTATCAAACAAAACTGGGTCCGGACCACACGGTGAATGGCGCATTCAGACATAACACATGCAAAACTTTAATCCAGCATTGCCCATACTGCCATGCTCATATACAACCCAAAATATATTTACACACATCATTTATCATCCATTCATTCATTCATAAAATATCGAAACATGTTTTTCCAAGAAATTTCTGATCGATCTACAACTAAAAAAAAACACCGAAATGATATTTATGTGAAAGTGTATTATACATGTTCTTGAGTAAACCAAAATGTTTTTCAAACGAACTCTTTCTCTTTTGTTAAGTTTAAACTAATAGTGGAAATTTCTATTTATCCAAAAATATGAGACCAAAGCTGTTATACTGTAGTAGGATATCAAAATCAAAATTTTAAGGGGGAAATATATAATAAATTGTATCCTACACAAAAAAAATGTTCTCTGAGTAAGTGGTATACTTCTTTCATTAATACAAACGATACACTTTTCATTAACAAACAAAATATGTAAAGATCAGTATCCATTTTGTAAAATTGTAAGAGAAAATATTGATTTTTTTTTTTTTTTTTATATAAAGTCATTCTTCTTTAGTTTCCAAAGATTTTTGGTCTAATCTCAAACCGTTCAATTTCAGTTGTACAGAGTGATAAAGCAGAAGTTATTATATAACTTTATTCTCATTATGGTACTCTTCTTTTCTACATGTTTGATTGTACATATTATTATTTGTCCTATTATAAATACTCTTAAGAGTAATGAAGTAATAAAAGGCATGCTATTTACACTCGAGAACAAGCAAATTTAGGGTGGTCGAGAGCTGATATCATGATAATTATTTTAATGTATGTAATTCTTTCATTTGAATCATCATTATGTGGCTTTGCAAAATATATTTTGTCAATGGTAAAGTAGTTGTTAAAATGTAAATTACTTGTATACTTAATTAAGCTGATGAATATTTATGAAATTCAGTATCCTAAGCGGAATGAATGTTTGCGTCTTCCAATTTTTACCCACATATTCAATGTCCTCCAAATATGATGGAATTTAACAAAATACAATTAGTGAGTTAGTGATTCTCATTTGTTAAAAAGTTTTATGTAGGTCTAGGTCATGAATCAATTTTTTCATGCCTAAACTATTTTCATTTAACTAACTATCGAAACAGTGTCATGCTTTAATTTATACCCATTAAAAACTTGTAAGTATACTATAAAACTTCTTTGCCAAAAGAAAAAGACTATTCCACTTCTACACTTACACTAAACAGATGATAAAAATTTAAATCGCGCCTAAATTATTAAAAATATATATGATGAAATTAAAACTAGGTAAAAGAGGTTTCATAAACTTGCATTAGTGATTTGGTAACCTAAATTGACTTGTGCGTCTTACCTTTATCATGAATCATGATTAACACTCTCCCCACCAAAAAAATAATATTTAGATAAATAAGAAATAGGAAGAAAAAGTCATAAAATATGTTAAAACTTAAAAGGCAAGGAGGGCCAACCATATCCACCATCTCTCGCCCACTTTTGCTAATATGTCACTCTCTCTCATATCCTAACCTTCCAATAACATTTCAGAATCATCCTCAGTACATCATTTGTATGATTTCGCTATTATCCTTAATAATCAACTAAAAAATAAAGGAATAAAGCTATGTTGCATGAAAACGGAAACGAAAACGTGGAAGCAAAACGTTTTAGAAACAGGAAACGATTTTTTTTTTAAATTAGGGATTGGAAACGTTTTGGAAACGTATACACACACATATATATATATATATATAACATTAACATAAAACTATATTATATTAAAGAAAAATGGTTTAATTAAACAATACAAGTCCAAAACATAAATATTAAATAGGTTAACTAAAATTATAAAAGATAAAGATTAAAAGGTTCAAGGTCAAATATTTAATTTAGACCAATATTTTCATTCTCATTTTCATTAGTTTCATCATAGATCATATAAAGATGCCTCCAAATCTAGTTTGTCGATAAAAAGATGTTAAAACTCAGAGTCCTCTAAAATTAGTTATATGTATTATAAATCTTAATATTTTTAACTTTTATTTATTAAGTTTCCAAAGTCAATAAAAAGGATTTGTCGCGTTTCCATTTTGGAAACGTGAGTTTCCATCGTGTTTCCAAACATAGATTTTTAGGAAACGCGTTTCCGTGTCGTTTTTCGTGTTTCCAAAGAGTTTCCGTTTCCAAAACGTTTCGGAAACGGGAAACGGACCTTGAAGAGAGTTTCCATGCAACATAGGAATAAAGAATAAAATTAAGATACCATTTGTTTTAAGGATGTTCAATCCAGATAAACCGGTCCGATTCAAACCAACCTAAACAAAAGTATTTAATCCAAAAACTAAACTATGTTGTAATATAGTTTAAATAGATTTAATTTTTATATCTGAGAAACCGAATTAAATACAAATCAAACCGGAAAAGAAAAAACCAATTGGAAACAAAAGTTTTTTTTTACAAATTAAGGATATATTTGACTAAACCTCAAATTTGATAACTTACCAAACCATTCATTATATATTTCATATTATTTGGATACAATTTTTTATAAACCTAAAATTTAAAAACATTAAAAGAGACTGAAACGAATCAGAACCGAAATCCGAATTGAACTCTTTGATGATTAACCAATAATGGTTCCACTAGAATCCAAGTCGATATGATCCTATCAAACTAGACCTAAATTCGGATTATATTAAATCCAATATTTATAAGTCGATATGATTTTATTAAATTATGTAGAATATGTTCTAGAGAACCAAAGTATAAGATTCTACTTCTTCTTTTTTTTTTTTGAACAAAGAAAAAGGAGAAATTTTAGGGAAAAAAGTAGAAATCTTGTGAGTCACAGTTGATTTGGTTCAATTGGATTGGGATAATATTTCAAGTGGAAAGAAAGAAACAAAAAAAAAAAAAAAAAAGTTGTGGTGGAAATTATTCCAATAAATCTCGTCGTGTGAATTGAATCATTATTCCTAGTGTCAATCTTCTTCACCTCTCCCTATCAACCTCCGATTTCTTCTTGTTTTTTTTTTTTTTATCTATCTACTAATTTATTTTATTTTTTCTTTGGTTTTAACTTTAAGACAAAATTAATTTAATAAGATATAAATATATTTCAAAATGTAACCTAACAATAAATACAAAAAAAAAGAGATATTAATACAAATAACGTATATATTGCTTTATTTTTGGGTCATTACTTGAGAGTCTACTTAGTCCAAAATTAGGAAAAATCTTTTTGGGTGAATAATTCCCAAAAGTATAGTTGCATTTTGCCAGAGAGGCACTCAGAGAGAAGAGATATTCGTAAAGATAAGCTTTTTTATTTTTCTCATCAAAAATCTATCTTCTCGAGATAAGTCACGAAAGGGTTTTCGATTTCTGCAATAGTTATTTAGAAAAGTAAATTTTTTTTTAGATTGGTTTTTTTTTTATGCTTATTCGCAAAGACAAGCTTTAGGTTTAGTTCTGAGAGATGTCTGGTTCTGTTTCTGGTTGTGGTTCTGGTGGTTGTAATATTGTATGGTTTAGAAGAGATCTTAGGGTTGAAGATAATCCAGCTTTAGCTGCAGCAGTAAGAGCTGGTCCAGTGATTGCTCTGTTTGTTTGGGCACCAGAAGAAGAAGGACACTATCATCCAGGTAGGGTTTCTAGGTGGTGGCTCAAGAACAGTTTGGCTCAGCTTGATTCTTCTCTTAGAAGTCTTGGTACTTGTCTCATCACCAAGAGATCTACTGATAGTGTTGCTTCTCTTCTTGATGTTGTTAAATCCACTGGTGCTTCTCAGATCTTCTTCAACCATTTGTATGGTCTGTTCCTCTTCTCTTCTCTCTTATCTTATCCTTGAATTTTCATAAGAAGATTTGATTTTGTCATTGGAATCATCTTTACTCTTATGGGTTATGTTTATGTATGAAAAAAGATCAAAACTTTGATCCACAATTATGTCTTTTGTCTCATATATGTATTGAGAGAAGTTTTGATCTTTTCAGATCCATTGTCTTTGGTGCGTGATCACCGTGCTAAAGATGTTTTGACGGCACAAGGCATAGCGGTTCGATCATTTAACGCAGATTTGCTTTATGAGCCGTGGGAAGTGACTGATGAATTAGGCCGTCCTTTCTCTATGTTTGCTGCGTTTTGGGAAAGATGTCTTAGTATGCCTTATGACCCTGAGTCACCTCTTCTTCCACCTAAGAAGATCATTTCAGGTTTGTTTCTT